TCAAATTGTTTTTCAATGTCCAATTTAAGTTCATTGAGGAGGCTACTGAATCTGTCAATATCCTCTGGAGTTACATCATCTTTTATAGACGATAATTCAGGAAACTGATGAAATTCTCCCTTCAATAGATTATAATTAAGTAGTTCAAGTTTGTCAATAAATAATGACACAATACTTTGGCAACCTATAAGAGTTTTATTAGCTCCTTGAAGCTGCAAATTGACATCATGAAATCTCTTGAAAATATCTGCCAAATAAAAGGCATCATTCTTTACTATTTTTAACTGTTCACACAGATTGGTCTCATTATTACTTTCAAAAACTTGTATGACACTATCATATAATGCTACAAAACGAGCCAAAGATGTACCCTTTAACAGCCAACAAACTTCTGTGTGTGCAAAAGTAACGTAATAAAATCTTCATTATTGTCCTGGCAAAGCTGTCAAAATATTCTTTGCATTGCATATCATTTTTTGCATTGGATTTGATCTTGTTTATGGCTCAAATTATTATAGTTAATGATGAATGGAGACTTGTACTTAGATATTTTCCTACAAGATGTTGTCTGTGCACCACACAATGAATACATAAAATATTTGGCACTTCTTCCTTCAAATAAGCAACAAATCCACAATAGCGACCTACCATTGATGGTGCTCCATCAGTAGCGCATGCAACAATATTATTCAAATATTATTTGTATTATTTGTATTATTTTTTGTAAAGTATGATTTCACAGTATTAAATATAGATAATCCTCTTGTATCTGTAATGAGATTTATTGCGAATAGCATTTCTTCTCGTAATGTATTGTTTTCATCAAAATAACATACATATGCCATTAATAAAGCATTATTATCTGCAGTGGTAGACTCATCCAATTGCATGGAAAATGAAAACTTTTGGAGAATACTTATCAGGTTTTTTTCAACATTAACTGCCATTTTTTCAATTTGTCGCTTTACTGTGCTATCGCTTAGGGGCAACGTTTTTAAAATTTCAGGTATATCCTGATGCATTACTGTTGAGATAAATTCTTTTATAGAGGGTATTATTACAGTTTCTCCAATATTATAGCTTTTACCACTTTTTGCAATTAATTGTGAAATGCAATAAGTGGTAATTAATCCATCTTCATTCGCTGCATGTTGTTTCTTAAATGATGCAATGATTGTTGAACGATTTTGAAATTTTTTATCAAAATATTTTTCCTGAAAATATTCAATGGGCTTGTCCTTATCATTTGGATGGTTTGTAGAAGGACTTGGCTTCATTGCTTCATTGGATAATGTTTTATGACACAATAAACACATTGGATCTTGTTTATTTACAACAGATTCTATGAAACCCATTTTCAGATACTCTGGCAAATAGCCACGAGCATATTTCTTTTTTTGAGACATGGACTCACAATATTTTGTTTGAAGCTGTAGGCAAGTGCTCACTCTCACAAATCTAACTGCGTACTGACCAGTGCGACCGCAAACAAAAGAGCCTGCACCATGTATCATCGTCTGCGCATGCCTCTTGCGCATCGTGGATTGGGTTTGGGGGGTGCTGGCTATCAGCTCTGCTTGTCTGTTACAGCTGGGCGGTGTGGGGGGAGATGCGCGAGCTATTCTGAGATGAGGCTTTTTTGTTTGCGGTCGCACTATAGCGCCATTTAGTTTCACTTACATAACATGAACTAAACCTATGTGTGGATGATACAAATAGTATATTTTCAGAAATTTAAATTGTCACAGGGAATTTTATGAAAACCTAATGAAAATGTTTTCATTCATGGCTTATAAATTAATAAAAGAAAAAGGCAAAAGAACAATAGACCAATAACTGCAATAGAATTAGAAATAGCATTGAAAAAACAAAAAAACAACAAATCACCAGACCCAGATGGAATTCCGGTCGAGTTTTATAAAAATACACAAGAGTCACTACAATGGATAATGTTGGAGATTTACAATGAGGTGTTGGAAGAGGCGAAGATACCGACAACATGGACTGAAGCAATCATCACCCTCATCCCTAAGGAAGACTCAGACCTACAACAAATTCAAAATTATAGACCGATTTCTTTACTGAATACAGATTATAAGACATTTACAACAATAGCAGAAAGGATAAAGAAAATTTTGAATAATTATATTCACCCAGATCAAAATGGATTTTTACCAGGACGACAAATAAAAAATAACATGAGGATAATACTGAATACTTTAGAATTTTACGAAGTCCATCCTGAAAGATAAGCTACGCTGGTTTTTCTTGATGCCCATAAGGCATTTGATAATTTGAATTGGAATTTTATTATAACACAATTGTACTATATGGATTTTGGGACAAAATTTGGAAAGATGGTTGAGAAAATATATACTAAACCAACAGCTAGGGTAATTATAAATGAGGAAATGACAGAAAAAATTGATATAACCAAAGGAGTAAGACAAGGATGCTCACTTTCCCCTCTTCTATTTATTTTATCATTAGAAATACTCCTTACAAAAATCAGAGAGGACCAAGAAATAAAGGGTTTAAAAATTAAAAAGGAAGAATATAAGGTTCAGGCCTTCGCTGATGATTTGGTATTTATTTTGGAAGATCCATTAGAAACTGGCTTTAAATTGATTAAAAAAATAGAAGAATTTGGTGAGGTAGCCGGACTTAAGATTAATAGGAATAAATCCAAATTAATAACCAAAAATCTTACAAAGGCACAGGAAAGGGAACTGGAAGATAAAACAAAGATAAGTATAACCAAGAAAATAAAATACTTAGGGATCTGGCTTACAGCGAAATGCTCCTCGATTAAGGAGGACAATTATGATAAAATACTACACCAGATAAAAAAAGATTTAGAAAATTGGGAAAATTTGCAAATTTCATTTTTAGGGAGAACCGCTACGGTCAAAATGAATGTATTGCCAAAAATATTATTTCTGTTCCAGGTTATTCCAATAAAATTAGGGAAAACATTCTTTCAAGAATTAAATAAATTGATTACTAAATTTATATGGCAAAGGAAAAAACCCAGGATTAAATTAAAACTTTTGCAAGACACGAAAGATAAAGGGGGATTGGCGTTACCAGAGTGGGAAATATACTACGAAGCATCAAGCTTAACTTGGCTAAAAGATTGGATGGATTTGAAAAATACTAGAGTCTTAACAATAGAAGGACATGATTTGCAAGCAGGGTGGCATGCATTCCTATGGGACGAAAAACATAAAATACACAGATATTTTCAAAGACACATAGTTAGGAATGCATTGCTACAGACTTGGGAAAAAAATAAAACAAAAACATTATACAAGAATTCCAATGTGGTTATCCCCAACAGAAGCTCTGAAATACCCAAACCTATTGGATATAAATAAGATAATTAGATACAAGGAATTAGTAAATGAACAGGGAAATTTGAAAACAAAACAAGAATTGGAACAAGACATTGGCAGAGAGATTGATTGGTGGACATTTACACAAATTCAATCTAAATATACAGAGGACAAAAAATTATATAAAATCCAAAAAGAGCCGCAAGAATTGGATAAAATTATACATGGAACAGAAATAAAATTAATTAGCAATTTATACAAATACCTATTGAGATATAAAATGGAAGACGAGGTTGTCAAAGACACAATGATTAGATGGGCAAAAAATTTCGGATATAATATAGAATTGGAGAAATGGGAAAAAATATGGGAAATAAATATAAAATTGACTATGTCGGCGGCATTCAAGGAAAACCAGTTGAAAATGTTTTACAGATGGCATCTTCCACCTGCAAAGCTTGCCAAGATGTTCCAGAATAATTCGCCAACATGTTGGAAATGTAAAAAAGTACATGGAACATATCATCTATGGTGGACATGCCCAGTCGCAAAAAAATACTGGTATACAATAAGAAAATGGATCCAAGAAATAATAGCCCAACCTGTAGATTGGAAACCAGAGATCTTTTTGCTGGGTATTTTAAATAGAAAATATAGTAAAGAAATATAGTACTTAATTTTACATATAATAACGGCGGCAAGACTAGCATATGCACAATGCTGGAAAAATGAGAATATACCATCAGAGGAAGAAGTAATAAGAAAAATCCTGGACTGTGCTGAGATGGACAAATTAACAAAAGAGATAAAAGAAAAGGAAGACACAGAGTATTATATAGTATGGAACAAGGTGTATGTCTGGTTGGAGACTAGAAATAAAAGAGAATAAATATGGAAAGGTCAAAAGTGAAAATATGTGTACAATAATGTATAATAATAATATGAATTATTCTTAGTAAGAAATAGAACATGAAGGAAGGAAAATGTAAATAAGAAATAATGGGGCTATAAGGACAAATATTTAAAGAAGAATAAGGGGGAAATGTAAATATTAGATTATTGTTACGTAATTGCTGTAAAAAAAAAGGAGAAGTATATATTGTGTGTGTATGTGTGTTATGTTTTGCTTTGTTTTGTTTTGTCTTGTTGGTTAAAAATAAAAATTTATTTAAAAAAATGACAATAAAGGTTATTTTATCTCTTTGAACACCATCCTACCATTTACCCCAAAGACAGACGGCGGGGACTCCTCGGACAGCTGCCTCCCCATAACCTGTCAATAAGGTTGGGAAAGAAAACATCACCCCACCTCACTATTCACAAGTCACACCTGACAACCCACACAGAAACAAACCTCTGTTCGAGACCGCTACTTCTGGGATCTCTGTGCGCTTCTTGCTCAGCTAACGCAACTAGCGTAACCGGAACGTTCATGGAATAAGATATGTTTTGGCGAAGGAAGCTATTCACAGAGAGCGGTTACACCAAGGCCACCGCTCTAATGGTGGCTATTTCCGAAATCATCGCATGAGACGTGCGTGACGTTCTCAGAAGGCATTTCCGCAAACTCCGTCGGCTACTGTAAGCCGGCCGGGTCAAAAGACTCCTTCGGCATTTTGCCCCCTCTTCTGTCCGCATTCCCTTCGTTACAACAGCTCGACTTACCGTCCAACGAAGTTCTCGAGGACCGAGCTCTTCCCCGCGCTCTGACCACCCACCACAGCGATTTGTGGCAGGTCGAGGTGGCAGCTTTGTCCAATAGAGCTGAAAGCATCTTGTAGCTTGTTCACCAGCGGAATCAACTCTTCCATTCCTCGGTTGCCCATAGCAACGACCTGGGGGGGATAAATCCCCCCACACTCCTCCGCTTCCGTTCACAGCCCCAGGCAATAACCCACAAACTTCCCCTTTGGATTCTTCTCATCCGGTCTCAGCGACGCCCGTTTGCTCTTCGGCCCGCCTTAAATCTGTCAATCACCATTACTATTGCTAATAAAAGCTGTCATTTCCCTTTCAAAGCCAATAGTGAAGGAGAATTTAGCAGGATCCCATAATGATAGGATGATATTTATCTATTATGTCTGTTTCCAGTCAGCATTTTAATAGGACAAATTCCGTGTCATTCGACAGATTCTCGGCCAATAGTAGCTTTACGAGCACAAGGAATAGTATAACCCTGCCTTCCTCCTTTCGCTTCTTTGTTGTTTTTTAATTTGGAAAGCGACCTGTCTATCTCTTTAAAACAACGAATCATTAAAACAAGGGACACGCCGCCCTTCTAGTTTCTTTCGCTCTTTATTGGACAATATTTCTATCACATAAGGGAAATGGCCAATCATTTTAGTCTAATTTACTTTTCACAGAGTATTTAGCTGAAATGACTTGCGTTGCCTTATATTCTATTGCTCTTTATATTACAAATTATTGCCGTTTGATCCTAGAAAGAGTGCAGAGAAGGACAATCTAACGAAGAGAAAGATTAGGGGTAATGTAGCAGTCTTCCAATATTTAAGTGGCTGTCAAAGAGAGGAGGGGGTCAACTTTTTTTCCAGTGAGCAAGACAAGAAGCATCGGATGGAAACTTAACAAAGAGAGATAGATCCATTTCTTCAATTAAGGAGAAATTTCCTGACAATTAGAACACTCGGTGCAACGGCTTGCCTCCAGAAGTTGTGGGGGCCCATCACTGAACTTTTTAAAGAAGAGATTGGACAGCGATTTGTCTGAAATGGTATAAGGTCTCCTACTTGAGCAGAGGGTTTGACCAGAAGACCTCCAAGGTCCATTCCAACTCTATTATTCTGCATTCTGTATTCTGATTAATATTAAAATTGCAGTCTTGCATATGCCTATCTTTAGGAACCTGACAACTTTTGTTGAAGTGTTTGGAAAAATATTCATCCTATCATTTGACTTTATAATAGGACAAGCCTCCAATAATGACGATAACTGGAATTAACAGAGATAGTTTCATTAGATACCTCCCAGAAGTGGGGGATTACAGTAAACTGTAAGCAATTTCTCCTTGTTAGGTCAAGCTGATTCTAGCTAGAATAAAAATCTCATGGTTATCCAAGAGCCAAGCCATAAATGACTTTCTAGATCTAAATTGGCCTTGAGCACTGATGATGTTACCTATTTTTGGTAATGGAATATCTGTAAGAAAACAACCAAGCTCAGAGAGCACCAAAGACCTCTTAAAATCAGCCTTTTAAATTGTATCTGGAAGCCAGTCAAGATCTATGGCAGGGCTGGAAGCACAGGTTCAATATGCGCCCACTGCAACATCACTGGCATCAGCCTGAAGGATGAAGGGGGTGTTGGAGTCTGGGTGTTTCAGCACTGGCTCCACTGCAAACTAGTACTTAAGCTTTTCAAATGCAGTCTGGCATTTCATAGACCATTTAAGCAGCTGGCTGGGTTTGGGTTTCTCTTTCCCTTTTGTCTTTAGCAGGTTGGTGATGGGGAGGACTATCTGGACAAATGAGGGGATGAACTGGGGGTAAAAGTTTGCAAATCCCAGGATTTGTAGTTGCTTCTAGGTGTGGGGATCCATCTCTATCGCCTTGTGGGAGATGCAGAAGCCCAGATAGTCGATTTTACCCTGCATTTGGACAGTATTTGAGAGGCTGCCATAGAGAGGAGGGGGTCAAATTATTCTCCAAAGCACCAGAGGGCAGGACAAGAAACAATGGTTGGAAACTAATCAAAGAGAGAAGCAACCTGGAATTAAGGAGAAACTTCCTAACAGTGAGGACAATTAACCAGTGGAATAGCTTGCCTTCAGAAATCGTGGGTGCTCCATCACTGGAGGTTTTTATCTGAAATGATATAGGTTCTCCTACTTGAGCACAGGGCTGGACTAGAAGACCTGTGAAGTCCCTTCCAGCTCTATTCTAGTCTAACCTTGGAATATAGTTTGGCCACTTGAAACTTCTTGATCACAGCTCTAACTAATTTTACATGTTCTGCTCTGGTCTCAGTATAGATGAAAATGTCATCCAGATAAACTAACAATCCCTTATACAGATGTTCATGCAGCACTTTGTTTATTAGCTGCATAAACACAGCAGGGCCCCCGTAACAGTCCAAAAGGGAGGACCCAGAACTGGAAGCATCCTAAGGGGCAATTGAAAGGCATTTTCCACTTATCCCCTGCTTTGATCCTCACTAGGTAGTATGCCTCCCACAAATCCAACTTGATGAAAACCTTTCCTTTGGCCAAATAGGCCAGCATTCTCCTTCATGAGAGGGAGTGGGTAAATGTTCTTCTCACACACACAGCATTAAGCCCGTGATAGTCAACACATAGACAAAGGGACCTGTCCTTCTCCATAAACCAACCTAGTTGACAATTTTGTCACCCAAAAGGTGGAGGTGGGAACTAGATGTAAAGCTATACTGGACTTAATCCTTATTAACAGAGAAGAAGCGATAGAGGGAATTGAAATTGCCGGAACCTTAGGTGAAAGTGACCGCGTCATACTGGAATTTAACATAATGCAAACACTAGCAATAGAAAACAATCCAACCAGTATCTTAAACTTCAAAAGAGAGAACCTAGGAAAGATCCCATGGATGAAAATCCTAAAGGGGAAAACAACCCAAGAAGAGTGGGAAACTCTGAAAAATGTGATCATAAAAGCCCAAACCAGCACAATACTACTGAAAAAGAAAAACAAGAAATTCAAGAAGGAAACCAGCATGGCTGCACAAAGATGTCTCTGACAAACTGAAAGACTAAAAGGACAAATACAAAAAATGAAAAGAGGGGCACATAACTAAGGCCGATTATCAGCAGACAGCCAGAACATGCAAAGATGAAGTCAGGAAAGCAAAGGCTTAGAACAAACAAAGACTTGCAACAGAAATCAAGGATAATAAAAAAAAGTTTCTTCCAACATATTAACAACAAGAAAAAAGTTAAGGAAACTGTAAGTCCACTAAAGAGAAGATGGCAAGGAAATAACAGGCAACAGAGAGAAAGCAGAGCTGCTTAACTCATACTTTGCATCAGTCTTCACACAAAAAGAAACTATAGCCCAACATACCAAAAAACCACTGCAAAAGAAAAAGTAGAAACAAAACTTAAAATAAGCAAGAGAATGTTAAGAGAACATTTATCTGACCTTGATGAGTATAAATCACCAGGATCTGACAGATTACATTCCAGAGTATGAAGGAGCTGGCAGATGTTATCTCAGAACCATTACACCACATCTTTCATAAATCCTGGAGCACCGGGGAAGTACCTGAGGATTAGAAAAGGGCTGATGTGGTTCTCATCTTCAAGAAAGGGGAAAAAACAGACCCAGGAAACTACAGACCAATCAGTTTAACATCAATACCTGGGAAGATCCTAGAAAAGATAATCAAAAAACAGATTTGTGAACAACTAGAAGCAAACAAATTTATAACTAGTAGCCAGCACTGTTTTGGCTACTATAACTAGTAGCCAAAACAGATCATGCCAAACCAATCTTATCTCATTTTTCGATAAAGTGACTAAACTAGTAGACCAGCGAAATGCTGTGGATGTAGTATACTTAGATTTCAGTAAGGCATTTGATAAAGTAGACCACAACCTACTCCTTGGTAAGCTAGAAAAAGATGGAATAGACAACATCACCACCAGATGGATCTGTAGCTGGCTGGTAAACTGAACTCAACAAGTAGTCCTCAGTGGCACCACTTATACAAGAGAAGTAAGCAGTGGGGTACCACAAGGTTCTGTCTTAGGCCCAATACTCTTCAATATCTTCATCAATGACTTAGATAAGGGAACTGAAGGGGAACTCATCAAACTTGCAGATGACACCAAACTGACAGGAATAGCCAACACTCCAGAAGACAAACTCAGGATCAAAAAGATCTTGAACAATGGGCCCTATCCAACAAAATGAGTTTCAATGTGGAGAAAAGCAAAGTTTTACATTTAGGCAGGAAAAATCAAAGGTACAAGTACAGATTGGGCGAGACCTAGCTCAAAAACAGTAACTGTGAGAGGGACCTTAGAATCCTAGTGGACGATCACTTCACTATGAGCCAGCAGTGTGCAACAGCAGCCAAAAAAACTAATACAATCCTGTGTTATATAAACAGAGACATAGAATCAAGATCATGCAAAGTATTAGTACCACTTTATAAAACCCTAGTAAGACCACACCTGGAATACTGCAACCAATTTTGGTCATATCACAAAAAAGATGTTGAGAGTTTGGAAAAAATTCAGAGAAGAGCAACTAAGATGATCAGAGGCCTGGAGACTAAAACATATGAAGAATGGCTGCAGGATTTGGGTTTGGCTAGTCTAAAGAAAAGAAGAAATAGGGAGACGTGTTAGCAGTATTCCAGTATTTGAAGGGCTGCCACAAAGAAGAGGGGGGTCGCATTATTCACCAAAGCACCAGAAGGAAGGATGAGAAATAATGGTTGGAAATTGATCAAAGAGAGAAGCACCTGGAATTAAGGAGAAACTTCCTGACAGTGAGGACAATTAACCAGTGCAACAGCTTGCCTCCAGAAATCGTGGGCACTCCTTCATTGGAGATTTTTAAGAAGAGACTTGACTTGTCTGAGATGGTATAGGTCACAGGTCGGCAACCTGCGGCTCCGGAGCCGCATGCGGCTCTTTGAGCCTCCCCCTGTGGCTCCCAGCCTCCTCTGCCTTTGCAGAGAGAGACAGAGACAGAGAGAGGCAATTGCGCTTCCCTGCTTCTCTCTCTGTCTCTCTCTGTCTCTGTCTCTGTCTCTCTCTCTCTCTGTGTGTGTGTGTGTGTGTGTGTGTGTGTGTGTGTGTGTGTGTTCTCTGAGGAGCTGCAAAGCTTTCTGGGCAGAGCTCCTCCCTTTGCTGCGTCTCTGCAGGAAGCAGGAAGGGCAGGAGAGAGCTAGCTAGCCCAGCTAGGCTGACTCAGGAATTCTGGGAGTTGAAGTCCATGAGTCATAAAAGA